GAAATTTCAATATATATATACACCTTTCGAAGTAGAAAATTGATTCCAAGAACAAAAAAGAAGCGTGTGAAGCGTGTGATGAGAGGTGAAAAGCTTAAATGAATATGTTTACACATTTCTGAGTAGAAATTATTTTCTCGCGTGGACAATTAGATGGTTAAACTAAGTGAGCTTTAAGTTGGGAAGAATTGAAAGGTTAAAAACGACTACTGCATATCAACAAACAATGTTCTATATCATGTTTTAATTATCTTCATGCAGGTTCAGTAACAATAATTTTACTCACTATTATTCATTAAAATGTGTATTAGTCATGCTGTTTTGTTTTTAAAAGCTTAATTTCAGTTTTATTTCTTCAAGTTTTTTTAATTTCATTTTATTTATCAATTTATCATCCTAATAGTTAAGGTTATTTGATCGCTTTACGTTGGTAGCTCTAAGTTCGGAAATCTGTAATAGTGTTTATAATTAGTTTGTGAAAATTTAATAGTAATTGTTTTTTTAAAACATAATTATTGTTTTGTTTCACCAAGTTTTTTTTTTCTATTACTATCATTTATTTCAATTGACTAAAAATTGGTTAAGAAAATCATTCTCTAAACATTTTAATTTTTTAAAGAAAAATTATTTGATATTTGATTTAAATTTTGATTAAATTTGATTTAATTGATATTTGATTTTAATATTTGATTTAAATTTTGAAGATTTGACGCAAGAAAACATTTCAAAAGGATTTAACTTAGTAGCGAGCCAAGTGAGCATGGCTTTCAAAGCAAACTACGATGGCTATTTTTGTAAGTAGGGTCAGTTCTGTATCTTTATAACAACACCCTTTTTAACAAATCACCCTCAACGGATGAGGTTTGGTCAGTGACGCGTTTTTAGTCTGCAAAAAACCTCTCTGATGCATACATTCCTCGCCAGATTTGTGAAGTTTAGGATCCTAGGCATGCTGACAAGAGATTTTGCTACACCATGACGATGTCTCTCTCCACAGCTCAGTCCCGAACTTTATTTGTCTCTTTTGGCTGGGAAGTTTTGCACCAACCCTCAATACTGGTCAGACCTTGTGCTAAGTGATTTTCTCTTTTTCCGATGTTTCAAACATCATTTTGGCGGCAACCAGTACAACGATGACGAAGACCTGATAATGGTCGTGACCTTTTGGTTATCGGAGCAGGCGGTAAGTTCGTATGAAGACGATATTCTAAATCTATTTGCAAGGTATGATGAATATTTAAGAAAACATGGCAATTATTTTGAAAATAAGAGGGGGAAGAAAAGAAAAAGAGAAACGTATGTAAAATAAAAAAATAAATTTTCTTAGTGAAAAATTTTTTTCGTTTGTTTTTAATTTTCAAATGGCCCTTACTTAAAAAAACAGTCTTCATATATTCGATTGCTTTTCAATTTTCGTTGTTTGGGGAACGTCGGCAAGCAGGGGATCACTAGTTTTTAGTAATGATACCTAATTTCATTATATTTTCCTGACTAATAAAAATGTACGCTTAAAACCAAACCTAGATAAGACTGTTTTCCTAATTTTGTGTTTTGTTTATTAATGTTTTAGTTGGTCATCTTATTTTTCAAATAAAAACTTTAAAAGAAAAGAAAACGGAAAAGCCTAATGTGAAAATCTTAACATAAATGTAACACGCATCTTAAAAAATTGATTTTCCTAATCAGTTAATTGCAACAGTTCTGATTTCGGCGCCAGTTTTGAAAATGTCTATAAATAGGGTGTTGGATGAATGTCAGCTGTTATCAATGGGATACCTGCAAGTGACGTAGTGTGGGGGTCTCGATCCTGATTGGTTGTTGGAAAATGGGGCATTTATTACGTGTTGAAATTCGGCAAGTGTCAAGAACAGTTGCTAAACAGTTGCTTTTCTTTCTATTTCGTGTAAGCCAAGCTCGTCAAATATTAATTCTCTTAAATGTCACATTTTATATTTTTATGCAAAGATTCTTTCACAAAGACTTCAAATCATGACGTCATATAGAACATAAAGATACTAATTATGCATCGAAGTTGCCAGGTACGCAAAACAAAAATATATCACGGTTAAAATAGAATGCAGAAACAAATAATAAATCTAAGTTAAGCAAAAAACGTTGGCGAGAAAGAATTGTATTTCAACAAATTCGATGTGCGAGATGTATTTAATTGACTTCACGTTAGTTAACATTCTAACTCATGAAGGAAAGCTTACTCCAAGTTAAACACGCCATTTTGCTTAGAAACGAACAGCTGGCGCTGACGTCATACGTCACATGTGTGGGTATCTGTAATCTTCTTTTTCTTCTTGAAGTGCAAGTACCCAATTGTTCAGTTAGTAACGAAGATATTTAGTCAAAAAACTTACTCAAAATTGGAGATGCCCACTTTCAAACTACCGATCAGTAATCAGATGTACAATAACACAGATATGTATAGAATAACCGTTCACGAAATTCTAATAAGCGCAATTTTAAGATGTATGTAGTTAATTCTATAGAATATTTATTAAATTTCTATTAAATAAAAGAAATTAATGAATTTACTGTTAAATAAAAAAATAATAACACTTAGATAAAGATACTAAACAGAAAATTATACAACACTGAAATCATAAACTTTATTATAATATTAAATTGATTTCTTGGAATCTGTGTTCTATCTTTTGGTTAAGTTAAAACTAAACCTTATTGCCTTTTTATCATCTTGCATTTGAACCACTAAAAATATTTGCTTACAGTATTTCAGATTTATCTATAAGAAGAGAAGATTAAGTTTCAGAATAGCTTATTGGATGAGAGAAAGAAGAGGTTTCTTCGCCTTTTTATTTCTTGTTCGTATCAAATGGTTTTTGTTTATTTATTGTTTTCAGAATTGTTTTAAGAAGCAAAGTAAAATCAATGTAGATTAGTTGCGAGCAAAAAATTTTATAAGTCTTGGCAATTAGCAAAATTATTTGAAACAAATAGAAGTTCTCAAACATTGACAATGAAATCAGTGTTGTTGTAGTTTCTAATGTCACATGCCACTACCAGCAAGCCTGATGGGTGAAACCAAGTGAATTTGAGGCACAAGGAGATTTCTTGTTCTTCTGGGGTGTCATCTATGACCAAGAATCCGACTTCATCCACACACACGTCACAGGCCTGTTTATAGGGTGGACCCGTTCATACATCTACAGATCGTAATTGTGAACTGAACCAGAGAACGATCCATCTCCACTTCAATACCCGGAACATGGAGGAGACTTTACCCGACAGATATAACGTGCACCTGTCACCATTTACTACACGAAGAGTTTTCAGCCGGCGGAGATCGAACTCACCCAAAGCCCTACCTACCAGACTATCCCTACCTCTGAAATCATTGGCATCACTGGAATGAAATGCGTTATTTTGTAGTCAGTAAATAACATTTTTTTCTTTTAACCATCTTTTTCCTGGCATTTTACACTTCTTCTTAAAATAGTTCCACAGCATTCAACCCTAATTGATTTATACTCTTGCTATGGAACAGATTTTCCCTTCTCCGCTGTTATGGTTTCGACCATTCTCGTTTTTCAGTTTGCAAGCATATAACGAGTCCTTAAGGTTGTTTTTCGAAGGTTCTGTTGTCACTCGAAATGATACTTTTTTTGAGGATAATATGCTGTTTTTGTACCCGTTGTAACCATGACTGTTAGGTCAAGTTTAGTCTATCTTTGGCCATCTGTGTTTAGCAAAACGTCAATGAGAAGAAAATCCACAGTTTTGAGAAGATGAAAATGCTTGTGGTCCAATTTTTAAATATTTACTCCGATGATGCATTTTCTGGGCTCCCAAAAATTTGCAAAAAATAGGAATAAGGCATTGATTTTGATTATTTTCATCTGGGTGGGAAAGTATCGCCACATTGAAGATTTTCAAGAAAAGTTTAATAACTTTTGAAATGGGTCCGTTCTGAAGCCCAGATCGTGACAAGATCGCATAGATAGTTCAACATCTAAGGCATGTAGTGTATACCTACCACTACAAAAATGTCATTCCAATTGACTAGTCTATCAGACTCGATTCTAGGGTGGGGTACCACCTTTTCATAGATGAATGTTGACCATGTGACCCACAGCTACTTAAACTGTGGTGATTCTCTTTTAATGAAAGAATGACCTTCACCCAGGTATGTGAGAATTGTAACGTTGATATTCAAAATATCACTGAAACATTTCTACTTGGGAAGTTACTATTAAAAACATTAAAGTCGACATTAAAAGAAGAAGAGTGAAAAATACTTACAGTGTGGATGGGTAGTGGAGAGACATGACAGAAGCCCAACTTATGATGAATATAAGAGGCATTCCTGCTACAGAAAAGTTATCATTGAATCAACTCATCAAATTATTATTAGTAATATATAGCACAATAAATAAATACAAAAAGGACAAAAAGAACAATAAGTTTTATTTAATAGACGTTAGCTTCAAGTACATATAGAACTCACAAAATAAGTTCAAAACGCAGAGAAAACATGGAAAAAATGTCAGAGTAATAAAAAAAGAGAAGAAGAAAATTATTTTTAAAAAAAAAGTTCAATAAAAAACCGGGGTAGAAAATAAATAATCTTTTCATAATCAGCTCACACGATTATATCCGTAAAAAGGAGTGCTTACNTATATAAATCATTTTCGGTTCCCGTACTCAAATAAATGAGGGAAGAATAGTTTTTATTCCACTTAGAGACATTTTATTTTACAGCGAACGACGGGTCGATGTGAGCCTGGTGCGGAATTCGAATCGACCCAACTCGTTGGGAGGTGAGCGGTCTGTCCCCTGAGTAACCATGGCTCGATAATCATTATTGTTATTTTCTATTTATATTACCATTTTTAAGTAAAAATAAGGCATTCTTAGCCTGTACGGTAAACACTGTAAAAAATTTCTATCGCCAAAAGCAAAAAAACGTCTGAGGATTCTATTTAGAAGGCTATCAAAAATATGCATTGAACTATTATCTTAAAAGCTTTTTTAAGAGAAGAAAAATTTAAAAAGAAAAAAAAACTAGTGCTTGAAGTTTAGTAGACGTAATTTAGGTGACGCTGTTTTCTTTCCCTCTTCGCCTTATTGTTATTGTTATTTTTCTTCGTTGTTATTTTTCTTACTTTTTATAATAAAATGTTGAATATTTTTTAATTTCAGCTGCTTGCATTGAATTAATTTAGTTAATAAAATACATTTGCTCAGAAAGAAGAGAGTTATGAAGGAATATTACAAAACTATTCTATGAATAGAATTTTATGAATCGGGCAAAACTATTCTTTGAATATGTTTTCTTAATATTTAATTATAAGTTCTTTGATAAAATCGTCGGATCATTTTAGATTGAAATCGTCTGCTCTTTTTTAATTGTAATAATACATGAATGAATTGAGAATACTACTAGTGGTTTTAAAGCTGGTTTGCCTTATCATGTGTAAAGTTCAAATAAAATTGGAAAATTTAAAAAAGTGAACCGGTTTTCTTTTTTTAAAGTTTCTGAAGATACTTTTTCCGAAGATACAGTTTTTTTTATTCACAGTTTTATTTTATTTCTTAACTACTTGACAAGTGTATAATTAATTCTTATAAGCGTTTTAAAAATTCTAAAGAGGTTTTTAAATATCTTTCCAAATATCTAAAGAGGTATTCATAATTTTTCAAGATGCAGTACTATTGTAAAATCTATGTTTGATGAGACTTTAAACGTGTTTTGTATCAATAAATCAATAAAAACTAATACATTTTTGTTACCTAATAATTTCAGATGTTTCTAAAAACTAAAGTTTTATTACAAGATGTATTTTTACCGCTTTTAGTGCAACTAAAAATTTACAATTTTCTTAATTTTTTAAAAAAATTTCGCAGAGTTTATACAAAGTAAAAAGTTGGAATTTTTAATCTTGTCGAAAAATGATCCAATACTTTCCTCTTCCGTTAATCATAGCACTTCTGAAGCTTTTAATTTTTCATCACTGTTTTTGTAAGTACAAAAGAGTAGGGTGACGATCACAGTAATCAATTACAACTTTAATTGATTACAGATAATTACTGCAATGTAATCAATTACTCGTCATCACGATTACAGGCAATTGCAATTACAAGTAATCATAATTTCTGATTATATCACAGTTGGACAAAAATGTAGTCGATTACATTTTTTGATTATAGTTATCAATTATTTGTAAACATGATTACAAAATTTGATTGCAACTGCAATCGTGATTACAATAATCAATTACAGTAATCAATTACTTGTAATCATGATTATAAACATTCCTAATTTTGATTACAACTGTAATAGCGGTTGCATAACCCATTGCAGTATCCAATTACAGTGATCAATTACTTGGACTCGTCATTACAAGCAATAAAAGTAATGTAAATATACGATTACAAGGTGATTGTATATGTATACCAATATATGGTTACATTTTACATTACACGTTGTAAATTGTATTGTATAATGATACATGTTGTACGTATTTACGCACAGCGTATGTACGAATGAATGTAACTAAAATGTATATAAAGTGCGCACAATAGAAAAAAAGACCACCCTGAATAACTTTTTATCTAATGATCGGATCTTTACGCTTCAGGACTCCATCTTTGACTTTAGAAGGTGACCTCAAATATGCTAATTAATAAGCGCCAACAATATTTTAAGTTACAAGATCAGACACAAAAACGTACTTTCTCTGAATAAACATACCTTTTTTTCCGACGGAATCGGATTTTCAATACCCAAAATATAGGATGCAGCTAACCGCAATTTTTCAATCAATCTTATTTTTTTTTGTTGGTACAATGTACCAATTTGATAATATAATTTCTCGTGATTACATATGACATCTTATTTCATTCTATTTTGATAAGTCTTCTTAACAAGATAAATTGATGATACTCACCCCATCCAATAATGTGAAAATGAAAGAAATGAAAATCCCTTGGAAAGACTAAGACAATACTTGTGTGCAGGTGTATACCTTCCAAGAACATCCACATGAACACTGATGTTCTGGAATATTCCATAAGCACGTAACATAATTCACACAAAATGGGCTGCAAAGAATCAGTTATAATTAAATACAACAATAATAAGAAACAAAAATTTTCAATAATAATAGTTAGGCAATGGAATTTTCAAGGGTGGAGAGGCATCTAGTCTAGTTTTAAATAAATGTTTTTTGGATGAGCTGAAAATGAGTAAAACAAGAGGGAATTATGGTTTTTGTTGAAATGAAAGCGAAAAACCAGATATATGAGACAACAGTTGAGAATGTTTATCAGGAAAACATATTTCTTTATTGATGAATTTATTAGTTTTAGTTTGAATCGAAAAGTTCGATGAATGATAGAATCTTTTATAAATGGATATATTTTTCGCAGTTCATTCAATGCATTAAAATAATTTTAAATTGGTCGATAATTTTCTCCAGTGCCATTTTACATACATAACTTAGAGAAATATCAAATAGTTACTAACAATAAATAAATAAAATAGATATTAAATAAAATAGATATTAAATAATATAGATGCAATTATAATTACAAGTTTAAAAAAATCATAGTTAGTTAAAATAAGTCCTGATTCTCGAAACCCTCGTGACCTTTTCGTGGAACTCTATAGCGGAACACATTTTGGGAGACTTTTAATCTAGAGGCCGAATTCACGCGTCTTAGGAGGCAATCTTATAGTGTGACCTCAATATCATTATGTCTGAATCGTAACTACGATATTTAATTTCTGCCAACGAAAATGTTTAAGAAGTCAATAGTAGACATCTAAAACAGATATTCTTTCTTTCAGAAATTGGATGAATATCTGAGAAATAAATTTATAATAGCTCTCTATATATAATTAAAAAAATAGAGAGTTGTCGTAAGCTAAGTATAATTTAGGTCTTTATTTAATTCTTTATGTTTCGAAATGTATTGAAGCGACCTAAAAGATTTTTGAGCACACTTATAACAATTCTTTAGCCAAACAAAATTTATACAGAAACAAAAAAAAAATCATAAGCCTTCTATAAAAAAAAAGTTATAAAATCAGTAATATAATGGTGAACTTAGAGGAGTAATTTAATTTTTATTAATTAATTTGTTAATGATGAAAAAATAAAATTTACAAAACAGAATGAGAAAAGATAAAATTTGCGATATTTTTTCATTCAAATTAAAAAATATTAAATTGTAAAATAATAAAATAAATTTAGATTGTATTTCACATATTAGTGCACGAATTTCACTAAAGTTACTCAAAAAATTCTCGCATTATAAATGTAATTATATGTTTACATTTAAATAAAGTGAAAATTTACTTCCACTTTAAATTTAAAAAAAGAAAAGAATGAGTGTGCCATTCCTTATATGTACAAAAGTTTCTGTAATAAAAATTTCATGGTGAATAAAAATGATTTGGTTAACCGAGATAAATGTGAATAATGAAATCATGTTACTGCATTAATAAAAATGTCCTCAAAGGACAACAACGAGTCAAGTAAAAAAACTTTCTATCCTCAGTAAATACGCCCTCTCATTGCAATGATATAGAAAGTAATGGATAAAAGGAATGAAGTAGTTTTTATTATGTAAATGACCACTTATTCCTTAAAAGTTATGAACCACTTCATTACAGTTTCGAACTTGGAATCTTTATATAAATTATGTATCGCATAAAACATTTATTTTTTGCTCTTTATTTTATGTGATAAAAGTTAATGAAATAATTATGCTATTACTTATTAGCTTTTTGGATAATTCAGCCCCAGCGGGGGCGGTAAGTTTAATTTGTCTTTAAATCATACTTTTTTCAAGACAGCAAGAAAAAAAAAATGTAAAAATATAAAGTTTTTTTGAAAAAAAGAAAATAAATTAAAAAATATATAATTATCTCGGGAATAGAATTTCATGTTAAAGCAAAATCACCCCGCCATCTTGAACGAGAAACAAAATAGTAAAATACTTTTTTTTCCTAGTTTTAGTTCCTTTTTTTAAAGAATTTCTTATTACTTTTTTATATTTATTTTATTATTTTGGGGTCAATTTGGTTTGATAGATTAACGCAATGAATAACTTAAAAAAAGCCTGAAACAAATTTCGTAAATTGAGTGTTGCATTCGACCTCACTGTGCAACATAAAGTTTAAGTAAAGATTAAGTTAAAGGCAACACGATTCCCAAGTGATGCTTTATGAAGGGCTTTTATGTAAATATGTTTCTAAGATTGCCTAAAATAGGTGACATTCCATTTTTTATACCAAATGTTCATTTGTCCTTACAGCTCCCCCACTTATTATCAGAATCTCGTAAAATTTGGCTTGAAGTGCTATTTTCGCTCGAGAAATAGAGTGCAACAAAAAAAGTTAAGATATTTCTTCAGGAAAGTGCCTTTCATGTCCGAACGGATAAAAAACGGATGACCCTTATAACTTTTGAACGGTTGGTCAGATTTTAATTCTGTAAAGTATGGAAATACTTCAAAGAAATCTTTTAAACTATAAATAACACTTATCTGTAATCGTAGCGGAATATGCTAACTTTAATTAAAAACTCCCTTTTTCTGAAGAAACACATTAATTTTTTTATTGCATTTGATTTAGGGTGATAAAATACGAAATTTCATTACAATTCTGACTATCAGGGAGGCCTGCAAACACAAATAAATATTTGACATAAATGAAATGTCGCTAAGTTTTGGCACTCGTAGAAACATATTTACATTAGAGCCCTGCATCATCGTTCCAATTTCGTGCAGTGAAGTTGGTGGCTCAGGGAATAGCCTCGCAATGAGGTGACCCGGGTTCGATCCCAACAATAGCTGGTTGATTCAAATTGCGCACCCGGCTCTCACCGAACACAGTGCTAACGTAAAATATCTTCAGTGCTTGACGGATCATGTGTTAGTGTCCCCTTGCCGTCAGACTAACCGTGGAGGGCTTTCCTATCCATGTAACGCAAATGCGAGTTAGTTGCATCAAAAAATTCTCCACGAAGGCAAATTTTTCCTAATACTTGATCCTGGAGTTCCCTTGTCTTCTGGATTGGGTTCAAAATTACAAGGATACGGAGTTTTACATTAGTAACCGTGAATATTTAATATTCCACCTATTTGTTAAAACTCTAATTTGAAAATTTTGAATATGTTTGCTCATGTAATTGAACTGTTACGCTCACTTCGAAGTTTCGGAGTTACGGGGGCGGGACGAGCTTAAGCTTGTTATTAGTAACCGTGAACCCTAAATAGGGTCGGCTGTTCAACGATGGATATAAAATATAAAATTTCGTACAGTGAACTAAACTGTGACACCAAATTTAAGAAATAAATAAAAAGTGGCAATTTTTAAAATCATGCATTCGTGCTATGAAGCAAAAGTGGCAAGAGATTAATGAAATAAATTAAAAAAATTCTTTCCTCAAATGAAAACTAAGAAAAAAGTATTTTGTGACTTTTTTTTTTCTGTCTGTTTGAATTCAAGTGAGCTGGAAAATTTTGCGCTCACTTAATATTCTATTCCCGAGATAAATAATTTTTTTTAAATTCATACGAATTTAAAAAATAAAACTCTTCGTATTTTTTTTGACTTGAAAGAAACATGCATTTAAAGATAGATACTAAACTTTCCCTGGTCGCTCGTTCAGTTGACTAAGGTTGAATTATTAAAAAATTGGCTGTATAATTATTTCATGATTAGCTTTTTAACTTATAAAAAATTAAATATTATTTCACCGCGAGAAATAATTAATGCAAAAATTTGAATGCTTATCTGTGGACTCACTTTTCTCTGTATTTGAATACTTATGTGTGTTTGGAATACAAAAAAAAATTTGTTATATAATTATGTAGTTATTAATTTTTAAGGAATAAGTGTTAGATAACATAATAAAGAATTATTTTATTTATACATTTTCATTCTTTATGTCATTGTAATAAAAAAAAAGAACTTTAGTAGATATTTCTTACGGATAAAATTTTAATACTAAATTTTCTCTTTTTTTCATAGGAAATGTGAATTTAGTTGTTATAGGTACCTTTCCAATATTTAACTTAACTTCATTTATTTTGATATGATCATTATAAATTTCTAACTGCGAAAGTTTGAAATCGTCTCGAAATGTGTTTCAAATTGATAGATATTAATAGTTCAAAATAGGATATCTGATGTTTATTCAAATGAAGATGGGATTTTTTGTAATGCTTTCTTGTAAAAGTGATAGATTAATAATAATTCTAAAATGCTGAATTCTAAGCTCATCTAAATCAAACTGGACAAGGTTTTTTTTATTCAAAATTATGCATGATGTGCGCATTTTTATACAATATAGTGTTAAAATTTTAGAAAGAAAGCAATATAAAAATGTCATATTTTACGATATTTTTTTTTTATTTCAATCATGAACGAACGATGAAATGAATGTGCTCAATACGTAAAGAAGTGAATACTAACATTTGAAACAGCTGTTTAATAAGATTTTAAGAATCGTTTTTATTTTATCAATCATTAAAAAAAAAAGGAATTATGCGATGTTAGGTCAAGGGACTAGTGGTAAAATTGCTGAAGTCCGTTTAGCAACTCATGGAACTAAGTTGTTTTTGATATACCAGCAATTAAAGAACTGATGTTTTCAAAAAGTAAAGTTCACCAAAATTGACTTGTACAGTGCTCAAAAAAATAACCGGACCACCCTTAATAACTTTTAATCTAATGATCGGATCTTCTAGGACTCCATCTTAATGTTTCAAGGGTGTGACTTCAAATATGCTAATTAATTAGCGCAGACGATATTTTAAGTTATGGAACTAAACACAAAAACATACTTTCTCCGAATAAGCATATAGTTTTATCGACGGTTTCAGATTGCAGACTCCAAAAATATAGGGGGTAGCCGAAATCTGGGAAATAGGGTCCTCATAGTTTGGTCAGGAAATGGGTCTAAAGTTTGGAACCTTTAATGTAAAATTTGAGCCAAATGTCGAGTTTACCCTACATCAATGTTTTTTTTTAAGGTTCAGTGCCATTGCCTCGTATACATTTTCCCGGTATGCCCTACATCAATGTTTTC